ATGTCCTGGCCTCTATACCAGCATTTACTTTTCTCAGCTGGGATTCAGAGATATTAATCACACCTTTGAATCTTAGCTCTAAGTTTCCCCAAAGGTTTTCAGATCTATATATCTGTGCTTATGACAGTAACCAATACCAAAATCTGTTGTGCAGTTTTCACTAGAGATAGAGGCACTTCTAATTGCACTGAAGAGAAAAGCTATTTAAAAAGAAAAAAAAAAAGAGGGAGCCTCTAAATTTTTTATGCAATACCTCCCAGTTGTATTTTTCCATTTCATACCAATCCTCTGCTCAGATGGAATCGCTCAGTTACCTTCTCTAAGAGGGAAGAGAGTCAGGAGTTCTCAGATCCTTGGAGTCAAGTTCAAATCTTGTGATTCAGATCAAATGCTCCAACAGCTCAGCAGTGGACAAAAAATCATACACCAGATGCTTGTTTCAGACTGCAGTGAAGAACACTGTCATGCTGAGATTGCATCTGAAGGACTGTGTCCATTTTGGAGCTCCCCAACATAAGAAAAATGAGCAAATCCAGCAGATTAACAAGACTCCTGAAGGGACTGGAGCACATGAATCTGGGGAGAGACTCATACATCTTGATCTGCTCAGCCTGGAGAAAAGAACAATTAGGGGAAATCTTACTCCTGTCTGCAACTGCATAATTGAGGTGCAGGGAAAGAGGAGAGAGCCAAACTCCTCTTGGTTGCACACTGTGGGTGAACAGAAGACAAAGGATACAACTCAGGGCACAGAACATTCCAATGAGACACAAGGAAGTTATTTCTTTTAACCATGAGGGTGCTCAAACCCGAACAGATTTCCCAGAGAGGCTGTGGAACCTCTATCCTTGAAAACATTAAAAATGCAACAGGACAAAGCCATGAGCAGCCTGCTCTAACTGGACCTGCTTTTCACAGCATGTTGGACTGGCAAGTCCCAGGGGTCCCTTCCAGCCTGTGCAATTCTGTGAGTGTAACAACTCCTTGAGGCCAGGGTCTCCTCAAAGCCTTCAGAGGCTACACCAGCTTACAACATACCTCTCCTGCTCTTCTCACCCCCCAGTGCACTTCTCCTTCAGGTTGGCTGGCATTAATGCAAATGGAACAGTGAAATGACCCAGATTAAAAAGAGGTTTGCAAAAAATCCCCCTGCAAACTGTTGAGTTGTACACACTGTGGTAGAGGTTCAAAATGAGTATTGACCATGGAAGTACCTAAAGATCATTTATCCAAAAATATTGTCTTGCCATTGATAAGTGTTAAGATTTTTACTATTTCAGAAACTCTCCTGTTTTAATAAATGTTGGTTTCCAATCCTTTTCTCTGCCAATTATACCAATGCAGCATTATCCTGCTAACACAACCATACAGAAATAGAGTAACACCCTACATATAAATACCAACTTCCTAAAGTGGTCAATACTCAACTCCATCATAATAAACACAAAACTAACAAGTTCTTCTCGTTTCACAGAAGAACTACAGCGGGGAAACTTTAGTTGCAAAGACTTCCAGGCTTCAACCAATTCAGCTCAGCCCAAGAGACAGCAAGGTTTCTGCAGCTCGTGATTTCTTCTTACAGTGTAATAAATAGTACAATATAATATCTGCCAAAGAAATCATATGGATGTAGTACTTCAGTTGTGCAAAGTAGGAGCATTCATTATTGTTACAGTGAAAAATACTAAAAAAATATGTAAACAGGCAGGAGTCCCTAATCTGAATCTGATTGGTAGATTATAGGTGTATAGTTCTGATCTCCACTGGATCTTATTTTCTCCTCATGTACCATGTTAAGAGTAAATACTATTTTGAAAACCATTAATAAGGAAATCACCTGTTTTAAGGAAGGCTTGCGTATTAAAGAAGGAAACTATTATGTGTCATACTCTCCTTCCTTCCGCCATTATTATTTTAATTGATTTAGATGTCAATCTACACAAGCAATCAGAGACAGTCATGCTGTCTTCTCAATATAAACATATTGGCTGCTTGGCACTCAAGCTGTTTCTTCTAAACATCTTCCCCTGCCCTAGATCAATGTTTTGTGATTCTCTAACATCTCTAGCCTACATAACTATTTCTAGGTTAACCTAAGTTGTCTATAAAACCATATAATCAGCTACTGTCTACATTATTTTCTCTTTCTTTGTAACCATACAATATTTTCTGTATTATCCTATACTAAATACTGCAGTTAACCTTGACTTTAGTAGTCTTAAACACTAACTTTACAGCAGTGTAGTTTAAAACATTTCAGGAAGCCCGAGATCACTCTACATTTGTGGACAAAGCATACACCCAGCAACATGATACATCAATTCAAACTGGGGAGAGGAGGGGGATAGAAGGGAGTTGTTGAGGATTACAGCATAATTTAATACAGAGAACCACTAGCTAATACTGGCTTTTCCCTCTTTTCAACAAGTGTTTCATCAGTCAGTGCCAGTATAATTATTTGTTCCACTCACATTTTTAACAAAACAGTCCCTAAGCTGTTGCACATTTCCAACACCTTTGTGAAATTGCTGCCCTATTTTGGGAAGAGGTTTCTGCTCACTCACCCATACTCTGGTTAACAGCAGTGATTCAAAGACACATTACTAAGTTGGAAGTGGTATAAGCTGCTATTAAGGGGATGGAGCTGACAACCACAGTGAGATAGAGGTGCCCATTGCTTCTGACCCAGTCACCCAAGGGGAATACAGTAACACTGGACAATGCACCAGTGGGTCTTAGGACATCTTTTAAGATGTTTTCAGCTAACAGGGCTGGCAGAACCAGATCTGAAGATCCATCTCTGTATATTCCCTCACAACCCACACAGTTACTTAGCACTGGCTACTTATGCCATGTTCAGCAAAGCTTAGGATCTGGTTGCATATTGTTATTTGCACAAGGGTCCCTGTGACTGAGCTGCTGTGACTCCCCCTGGTCAGTCACCTGCTGCAACAGTTCATTATTAACATCCCAGACATATTCCAGAGCAACTTGGCAAGGCAAGTTGGCACAGTTGCTGTCCACTGGACAGGAAGGGGGCAAGGCATTCCACAGCTTTTAGCACTGTAGCTTCTCTATACATCTCCAGTTTCAGCAGTGAGCAGGGAAGATCTTTTCTTGAATCAGGCAGCAAAAGAGTAAAATTCCTCTCAGCAACCTCGTAACTGCATCTTTCCCCACCCTCTACCACTGTCTACTACAGTTAGTTTCAAAGTCTTGTGAGTCAGAAGTTGTTTCCTCAAGCCCTGTGCAGCTCTTGGCTTTCTTCCCGAAGCATAGGGGCTAAACACAGGAACTGCAGAGTGTCCTGTCACTGTCTTGAGGATTGTCACAAAGCTGAATCCTCCCTGACAGCTGGCACTGCAGATAGTGGAATGTATATAACCTATACAGTTCTGGGTGTCCCACAGGGTTCCTCCAGTATATCTGCTGCTCCTTGCTACATTTACTACAGCTGAGAACAGCAGTATCATCATCATATGTTGCTGCCACTGCCAGGCTTGCACCTCAGCCCATTCTTGCATGCTTCAATCAGCTGCCTTTTTAGGAAGAAGGTAACCTACTTGGAAAACCTTTAAAAAAAACCTTTTAAGTATTTCCATTGCTGGCAATACTTATTGCAGATACCAGGCACCTCCTGACATCCAGTGCAAGAAACTCTTTCTACCCACAGGCGAGGCAATCTGCTTGCTCTCATCTGTCAAGGTCTTGGTTTTTGGCTTGTCTGCTCCCTCCAGAGGCCAAGCACACAAAGGCATTTAGCTGATCATCTTCCTCAGCTGGGAATAAAATTCATTAACCATAAAGAAGAGTAGGGTTGATTAAGGAATATAGATGCTGCTGGCCACAGAAGAGACTCCTATAACACCACAGCTCAGACACACAAATACAAGCCACCCACTTTTGCAAGAGGGAAGAATAGGTGCCTACAAAACAGCGAGTGCTTCAAACGAGAATTTACTGAGCAAGCGATGCCGTAATAGGCACTTTATCTGTTACAAAGTCTCTGTCAGCTTCTGCTGAAGCTTTCCTTCCTTGAGTCAGCAGCCTGGATATAAATAAAACTGCTGTGCAAGTGTCCGCTCTGTCTACAAACATGTTGGAAAAAACATGAAGAAAAGCTGACTCACAGGTCAGACAACACGGTCTCATCTGTGTATTTTTTGTCCCGCTAGCATCTAACAGAAATCCTGAAAATGTAATTGGTGGAATTAAAACATCTGGATCCCAAGTGTGGCACAGGAGCAACCACCCACCTAAAAGTGAGAAACAAGTCTTTAGATGTTTCTAGTGGCTCCTTGCTGCTAGTACCTACTTCCTAGTTGGAATTACTCCATGAAGGTACTCACGATTTTCAGTTTGTTGCTTTATTTGGTTGAGACTGCATTTTATAATCACAACGTTGATGATCTCTGGCATGAAATCTGATGGGCAAGACAGAGCACAAACTATAACCTGAATTAATCAATGGGAACTCTGACTCCTGCTTGCTGTGATTCAAAATATAACGAAACAAAGGCATCCTCCCTACTTACATCTTCTCCCTCCTTCTCCAAAGGGAAGGGCAATCACAGCCCGAGAAATAAATTCTAAAGATTCATTTTTGTATCAAAATGAGAAACCATTGCCAACAGCTACCTTCAGAAAAGCCAGCAATGGGCCTCAAGTTTAAAGAGACAAATAAACTGCACTCAAGACTACTGCAAGGTTATTTCAGATAATATGTCCCACGCATCTTCTAGAAGGCTACACTTATTTTAAGCCTTATTCTATAAAGTGGTCAAACTACCTAATAGTAAAATTACTTATTACTAAGAAAATGTTATTCCTAGTGTAAGATACCAGATGAAAAGCTAGGTTTGAGTCCTCCAGGAAACCATAGGATAATTTATGTCCCTTGACATTCAAATTCAGGAACAGCAAACAATTATGGATTAGACTGGAGCCTGCTCAACAGCAGAAACAGCTGACACCCCAACTCACCTGAAGACAGGACTTACCTTACAGCCAGAGGGCCTCAGGAAGCAGCAGTCCCAGCATTATTTCACATGCAGATGTGCCACCAGTCCTGCCAGTTTATTGTGAAGAACCTGGTCGGGAGTACAGCTGGATAGCACATGGAGCAACATGGCCCCCTCTGTCACTGGCCCACTTCCATCCATGGACATCGCCCAGAGTGCAGAGCGATCCCTGTGCCAGCCTCACCTCGACCAGGTTCCATCTGTACACTAATTTAGGTGTGTGTACGTATAATATGGCACCAAACGTAACATGAATGGCTGTGTCATGCATCAGGATGGCAGTAGCACACAGAACCATGGATGTGCTTGGTGGCACATACAGGGCACAGTCATATGACACAAGTATCAGCAGTAACAAGTAAAGGGTACAGAGCTCAACAATCATGGGCTACTAACTCCTCCTCTTGCAGAAGCAGAGAGGTTGTTTCTTTTGTTTAATCATTTATTTTTTTCAGTTACTGTATCTGGACTGTATCTGCTAAGGATTAGCATGGAAAAACATTAGGGCTGTCCAAGAAAATGCAAGGCTGCCCCTACCACAAGGTAAAGAGACAAAGAAGATTTAGAACAATGAATTAAAATAATTTTTCAAAATGTTAACCACAGAGAAAACCTCAAAGTGGGAAACTGTAGAGAAGCAAGATTCAGGATGGGAACAGTTCCAGGCATGGAGAAAAGCATACAGCAAATGGCAGGACTTTCATATGGACTTTACTGTTATTATGTGGTTTCACTGTATCCATGCTACACAGTGCACAACTGCACATGCCCAGGCTTCCTCCTCCCCCTTTTGCCTGTGCCCTATTGTGATTTGCTCCCCTGCTTGTCTGTCTGATAGCCCACCCTTTGTTCTGCCCCTTTTTCCCTGGCGGGAAGGTTTAAGAATCGAGCACACGCCTGAATAAAGAAGTCTGCTTTGCACCCTTCCTGGTGTCCTGTCCCCTCTTCCCTATTCGGACTGCGACAGGAAACAGCCAACACAAAGTTTATACTTTGGCTGCAAGAGAATAATTTTTGAATCTCTACTTTCAATTTTGCACTATACTTGAAAAGCCAGCAGCAGTTCCCAAAGTTAAACAAGAATTATTGAAAATGTATCTAGGAAATACTCTTACAGATGGAGCACCTTTCATGGTTTTAGAGTCAGCGATTTTGCAATCCGCTACCTTGCAGCTGCTGTTCTACCACTGTTGTCTGCTTGGAGATGTGGGAAAGACAGCTACTTGTACAAACTGTTTTTCAACCCCACAAAAAAAAGCGGTAAGAGGGACAATAAAAGGTTGCCTAGACTGGACTATGAAGGGAGCTTTAGCAGTGGATGAAGAAACAAGATGACCAAGTGTACTCAAGGAGGCAACAAAGCCCAGCACGTAAGCAGAAACCAGATGGTGTTGAGCCAGAGCACTGATACGAAATCACCAGTTAAATAGGAAATTTCCTTAAAACCTGCAAAGTTTAGGTTGGGCCAGACATGAGCCTGGGAGCAATAAAGATTGGGAGGAACCTCAGGACAAACCATAACCAATTCTACAGGAACAGAGTTTCATCTCTGACCCACAGCTGAAGTCTCTGTCACACCGGAGGACTCTGGTACCGAACTGTCGCTAACACAAGAGATGGTTCCCTACAGCAGCAGCACATACGTGTGTTGCTCCTTAGCACTGACCATGCACTTTGCATTCTTCCCACACACACAAGATTGGTTTTGGCAAGTATAATTTCAACAATATCTGTATCTTCAGTACACATTCACTGCAATTCAATCATTAACCTTTCCACTAGTACAACTGGAACAACAGATACCTTCTGCACTTCGATCTCAACATCAGTTTTGAGAGCTTTTAACCATTTTCAGAGGTTAAAAGCCTGCTTAATACGTTAAGGAAACCAATGAGTGTGGGAATGGTTTACAAGCCTCATCTTGGAACATTACAGCATTTGTGTTCCTTCCCAAGTGAACCTGATAGGCATACAAAGACAATAAACTGATACTTAAAGATCAGTGGAGTAAGAATCCTGTACTGGTACAATCTTTTCCTCCGTATTCAGCAAGATTTTACAACAAATATTTAAAATCCATGAAACATTTGGCAAAATTACTTATTACTAAGAAAATGTTATTCCTAGTGTAAGATACCAGATCCATGTTAGGAAAATAGACACTATAATGAAAGAAAAAAGTAAAAGGGAAGACATTTTCGCAAAAGCTCTGCATGTTTAAATCTCTTTAAAAATCATGTAAAGCAATGAGGCCACTCCGTATTTAAAGCCATTTTGTTTTTATCTATTGGGGTAGTCACTTTACATCATACCAAAAAGACTGTATAAGGAATACAAGTGTCAAGAATCAGATCTTTATGGCACAAAAGGAAGTTTTCCATTAGCCTGCTTTCAAAGTTGTTAAATACATAATTGAAGACAAAGAAACTAAGGCTACCACAAAATAATATTTGCATGATGATGTTAGTCTTTATTCAGTTTCTCAACTGATTCCTCCAGTCTGAAGGTGGAGAAGAATCTTTCCAGTAGTTTGCTTCAGTGATTTATTCTGGATGAAAAGATTCTCTTCCTACTTTTGACACAGATTTATTTTCTCATTTATATTGTTACTCAACATTCACATAAGCTTTTATGTTGCACCTTACAATGTATGGAATTTCAGATTAAAATAAAACTCTACTCTTAACATAACCTTTTATATAATGTAAAAATATTCTACATGTTTACCATATCAAGAATGTTAGGCATTCACTTTGGGGGAAACCTGTTTTACGTATTTTTCAGTACAAACCCGACTGCGAACGTTTCGCATTCGTGTCTCGCTCGTCAGTCGGGTGCCACCCAGTGTTCATCGTCTGCAACTACAGCTCGGCCTCGGCACGAGCCGCAGTTCCCAAAAACTGCGAATTTTGAGATGCTGCTCACTTTTTATCTTTCCTCCTCCCCTACCCCTCCCTCCACCGTGGAAAATTTACACCTTTGAAATAATGAGTGTTTTTAATTATCAAAATCAGTATAAAAATAGCAGCATGCTACTAGACATGAAAAGCAGATTGATCAAGCATTGTGAGTTTAAATGCAGATTTCTGCCTTCCTTTTATATTATCAAAATCTTTTTTAAAGGTAACATCAAGGCAAGGGGTATAAGGACAGACACTGCATAGTATGATTTGATACTAATCTGAACTGGGTATTTGTCTTTAATGATAATTACAGGGTAAACATTTTTTATTTCAAAATACAAGTTTAACTGGAATTGTAGTGATGAAAGCAGAAGAGGGGAAAATGCAGTCTTTTACAGCCCATGTCACTGTATGTCACTTACATCCAGAGGTAAAAGCTCTAATTGGTGAAGAGACAAAATATTTGTGGTGTGTCACTGAACCTTTGTGATAATCCAGCATTATCCATTTCTAAAGAAATATAAATACTTTAAAACAAACATTGAAAATAAATCCTTTTGATGTAACAAACTACACTCTTTACTGAGAATTTTCAGTCTTCTTAAAAGTAAGGGACTTCACCCAAAAAATAATTGAAGTATCAATGTAGAACAATCCTTGGAGGAAAAAAGTCGGAATGTAAACCTCTGTTCCAAATTAGATCTGAAAAGCAAAAACACCACACCATGTATTTAATGCAAGTGCATTTTTCATCAAGCAACTCTTTAAGTTACCTTTACAGTTCAACAGGAGTCTCCCTGAACTTAGTACACTGTGGTTTTGCCTCAGCTCATACCCTGTTTTCTTAACATGTGAACAATCACTCTCCACTTATGTCCCCACAGCCCTGTGACAACACTCTGGTCATGCAGGTGAACCATTCTGCACAACCACAGTATCTGCAATACAGTTATGCATCAACAGTACAGTCACAAATTAGCCTATGATTCTCAAAAACAAAAATAAAACCAAGTTTGAGGGTCAATTCCCTGAACTGACCTTCTAATCATTCTTATGACATAAAAAAACAAAGAAAAGGTTCCACAGAGTTTTTCACCTGAACTATGACCTTGGAATCTGCACTTCATCCCAGGAATACCAGGCTGACACATTTTGTCTTTACATCTTTTCCTTTCTTAAAGCATGATATTAATATTATTTGCATAGCTGACAAAAGCTTAAAACCAATTATAGCTGCTCACTTAAATATGTTATTCCACACACAGATCCATTAGTTTGCAAATTTGTCCTATAGACCTATCACTTTGATGCCTTACAACAGTTTCATTATTAAAAGCATGCAATACTAGAAAGTTTTTCTTGCTTCAGTGAGCTAAATCTTCAGTAAGCTCAGTCACTGGCAGGTCAAATGTCTGATGATTTTGATAGTTTTAAAATATTTGTTCTAATGCATCATAAACTGAGAACCTCAAAAAAGTCAAAATAATGTAAGTATTTTAAAAGAATTAGGCATATTATCAACTCAGAGAGAGAGGACTAAAAAGATGAAGAATTAAAACATAATAATATACTTAGAACAGTCTATCCAATTAACTCAGTGGCTCAGTAAGTTACTACTTATCTTCTCAGCCAGCTGACCTTGCACACATTCATCTCTCAAATGTAAATAAAGTGCATCATCTTAGAAAACACTGCACAGCAGATCCTACTTCTGCAATTTACTATAAAATCTGAATTATAGCAATTTTACTACTATAATTTCAGAGTGTGCATGGCCAGTTACTATGAAGTGATAAGCAGTAACACAAGTGATTATGACAATCTGTAAACTCAGGATTATGGTTAACTTTAGAAACTATTAAAATGCAGTTTTTTATAATTTTTACGTAAACAAAAACAGAGAACTAAAGCCTTTGTTTTTTTAAAAAACACAAATGCCTCGATTATTTCTGCAGTTCTTATTAGACAGTAAGGTTGTTAAACCTACAGAGGAATTTGGGGGTCAAACAACTTTGATTTTCCTTTAGGCATCTTCAGGGTAATGAGAAGATTGCTCTCCATGTGTGTTTTAACAGCATGTCACTGAGTATACTATGTGCTTAGAGGTCAACTAAGCAATGACTGTAGGAGAGGAGAGAGAACAGAAAGCTGCAATTCACCTCACCACTTCCTGAAGCTGTCCCTATTCTAAACACCAATGGCTATAAACCAAGGAACAACAGCTTATTGTCAAAGATGACAGTTTCAAGCATATGATACAAAATGCACATTTACTACTTACATCATCAATATCTTCATCATCATCCCCAATATCATCAAACTGGATTTCATCATCATCTCCAGGACCAAATGTGTCTGTTTCATTGATTTTGGCTAAAAAGGAATTTAGAGAAGCTCAGGAGTGCACTGACACTAGACAGACTGAATACTCTT